GATAATACAAAGATAAAGCTAGATAATACAAAGATAAATCTAGATATCACAAAGATAAACCTGGATAATAGAAAGATAAAGCTGGATATCGCAAAGATAAAGCTAGATAATACAAAGATAAAGCTAGATATCACAAAGATAAACCTGGATAATAGAAAGATAAAGCTGGATATCGCAAAGATAAAGCTAGATAATACAAAGATAAAGCTAGATAATACAAAGATAAAGCTAGATATCACGAGGATAAAACTGAATATCACAAAGACGAAGCTGGAATGATTTGAATTTATATATCACAAATAAGAATTTTTGATAGTTTATCACAAAGGTAAAGCTATACACATAAAACTGAATACACAATGATCTAACTAAAGTATCACTAGTTAAGGGAAAACTTTAAAACAATGTTTGATTTATTACAATGAAAGATATATCAAAGAAACCTAGCTGGATTCCATAACTTAGAACAGACAATGAAGAATGTTCAGTTTGAGATGTATTATCTGGAAGGTACAGACATTACCCTCACCACAAGTTAGCGTTAACACAATTATAACTGTCTGTTCCCATTCTGCTTTGGTCACCAAAAGAAAGTTATGACAAAGATATCTAGCTTTTCATGCATGACAAAAACAGACAGAATAGGCTACACCGTTTAAAAGTATTTATTTAATTATGGTGTTGTGTCAAAGTTTTTGTAATTCTTTCTAATTGCAAGGAATTATGGGTTCATGAATCGTGTGTAACCGTAGAAAACGTAGACTGCCTCCGAGTGTTTTCATTCGGGTATTGTGGGTGGATTATTGAAGGCCTTGGGTCGTGCTAGTGAGAGGATTGTTGTTAGGTCAATATTAAGATAATAGGTTATAGGTAGGTAGCTCTGCCACGTCTACTGTCAGATATGCCTGACTGCCTGCTCTATCTAGGTATATAGCTGCCACATCACCGGGGGTTTCCTCTATATAAAAAGGTCACCTCATACATCCACGTCACAGATTCAAAACAGTTATGTCTGAAACTACCAATGATCAGCAGCTGTCTTCTGTACAGATGAAAGATATAGAGAAAACCTCACAGGTAAGACCTTGTACATCATCTAACTACCTCTAAAGTAAGTCTGATGTAGTGGACTGGTACAGAATAATGTTTAACACTTCATATCTAGTAGTTTCTGTAGAGTTAAAATAACAAGGTGTTAAATCTATATGGAACAAGGTTGGGAGGTGTACAAGTCTGTTATTCTCTGTATATATGTGACTGAGTGCTTTTGTGTACCACTGTCTGCCAAGCTTTCATTTTATATATCCTTAAGAATTTTTTCTATGAAGGTAGCGTTTTTAGTAAGATTTATAGAGGTGTTTTAACTTGTATAAGAAGTATGTCAATGTAATGTTATACTTATTGGGTTTATTTTGGGAAACTGTTAAGGAATATAGATGAGTTGAGTGTGGGAACATGATAACAGTGCCAGCCACTATCTGTATATAATATAAACACACTGTCTACATATCAGTTACTTTACACTTGTATGTCCTGAGGAAGTTTGAAATTGAGGTCTGTTAACACCTGTCTTCTCAAGCTGATTATATCTATCACAATAGACCTATACTAAAACATGTATAAATAACATAACTGGGATGTAATTGTACAGCAGTTAAACTGTTCATAAAGAAATAAAGTACAGAGGGTACCACTAATAATAACATATAATAATAATATGTGATCATAAAATTAATGTTACACCTGTATGTACAATAAATACTAGACTTGTATGAAATTGTTCATGAAACATTGAACTAGTCACTGTTACACCTGTATGTACAATAAATACTAGACTTGTATGAAATTGTTCATGAAACATTGAACTAGTCACTGTTACACCTGTATGTAAGGTGGACACTAGACTTGTATGAAATTGTTCATGAAACATTGAACTAGTCACTGTTACACCTGTATGTACAATAAATACTAGACTTGTATGAAATTGTTCATGAAACATTGAACTAGTCACTGTTACACCTGTATGTAAGGTGGACACTAGACTTGTATGAAATTGTTCATGAAACATTGAACTAGTCACTGTTACACCTGTATGTACAATAAATACTAGACTTGTATGAAATTGTTCATGAAACATTGAACTAGTCACTGTTACACCTGTATGTACGATGAATATGAGACTGGTATGTAATTGTCTGTACATTCATTACCCAGAACTACACCATAGTACAATTAACTTGAGACTTTTGAAATATTGTAATGCAAAACAATGTCTGTATAGAAAATACACTACCTTAGGTAAACTAGTGTCATTTTAATAATTTGAATCTGTATGTGTGTCAGATAATGAAACCTTTGTAGGTCAGCCATTTTTGTGTTGAGAATGATCCTAGGTCTAAATACATATGAGTAGGGTCCTTCCCATAGAGTTACACATTTTGACCTTAATTCTATGTAGCTTATCATTCAAAAGAAATCCTGATGACATTCAATCGTGAACATTGAAGTCTGTTGTTACACAGGTATCACAAATTCTATCCAAACATGAGAAAGCCCAAGGTCGAGATTGGTTGACTTAAGTGTTTGAAACTGAAGGGAAAAAATATATAAACTGGTGGTAACTGTCGTTAATAAATTGAAGGGAAAAAATATGATATAAACTGGAGGTAAATGTCGTACATAAAAAAGGAAATATTTAAAGCACTTTAAAAATCCTGATTATTTCAGTACCTGGAGATACTAAGTTTAAATATCCATTTTTATGCAGAACAAACACAGCAATATTATTGTATTGAGGGTATAAGGTATCACTATTAAAGTATTCAATGTTATAACATATTGTATTAACGATACCTAACATAAAGTCAAATTGCTCCTGATTTTAATGTGTTCTACCTGAGGGGACCAACACAAAGATTCTGGCTGATTTGTAATAATAGAAGCAGTGAGTCTATTGCAGGACAGTTAAATAGCTTGTGTTGATTACCCTGCTGAAAAGGTATAGGTAATGTGGGTGGGCTTATTGATGGGCATGATCTTGTTGTTGGATATATACAAAGGTATTGTAAGAGTATAGCAATATATTGAAGGATCTGGAGATAAACAAAGTACTAATCTGGTGTTCATAATGAGCCCTCCAGCTTGCCGCATAACACTAGGCATATTTATTAGGACAACTAAGGACAACATAACACTAGGCATATTTATTAGGACAACTAAGGACAACATAACACTAGGCACATTTAATAGGACAACTAAGGACAACATAACACTAGGCATATTTATTAGGACAACATAACACTAGGCACATTTATTAGGACAACTAAGGACAACATAACACTAGGCATATTTATTAGGACAACATAACACTAGGCACATTTATTAGGACAACTAAGGACAACATAACACTAGGCATATTTATTAGGACAACATAACACTAGGCACATTTATTAGGACAACTAAGGACAATATAACACTAAGCACATTTATTAGGACAACTAAGGACAACATAACACTAGGCATATTTATTAGGACAACATAACACTAGGCATATTTATTAGGACAACTAAGTACAACATAACACTAGGCATATTTATTAGGACAACATAACACTAGGCATATTTATTAGGACAACTAAGGACAACATAATTTGATGTGCAGTAATTTGAATTTTTACTTTAGATAATACTGACAGATATTTGATGTGCAGTAAGTTTAATTTTTACTTTAGATAATACTGACAGATATTTGATGTGCAGTAAGTTTAATTTTTACTTTAGATAATACTGACAGATATTTGATGTGCAGTGAAATTTTGCTTCAACCTTATAGGTTGCTCTGCCTGGAGCATTAAAAACCCTGATATCAGTTTTCCTCGACCCCAGCTTCTATTGATTTCAGAAGGCTGCCTGATTTTATTTTCCATTTCAGATCACATCAAACTGTTTTGACAGAAAACCAATTATAAAAATGTTCTACCAGTAGCTTTATTTAAGTCTTTGTGGAAGTGTTTGTCTGAAATTCATTCCAGTTAGTGACGGTCTATTTGTCTGATGGCTTTTCCTATGAATATTTTGACTTTTTGTTGTATAACATGTTCCTATTACAGTCCAATGTTTTTGTGCGATAGATCCGTATTGATTGAGATGTCTTATAGTCCTTGTGGGGAATTGATCTGTGTTATATGTGAACAGCTTTTTATATCTGTCACTGGCTGAAGTTTGTTAAAGAGGCAGTGAAAGTGTTCTTATTATTTCAGTCATTAATTGCAAGATAAAAACCTGAAACTAATCTCAGTTCTATTTTCAGTGTGGTTTTAAAAATTGTAGTTATCTCCCCTTGTTTATTTATGACCATTTGTTTTTTATTTTTTATGACTTGCAGTTCGCAATTTAATGGATAATAAATGTATTGATGTTATTTCTTGTTAAGATAAAGGTTTTTTTGATCTGTAGAGTTGTGACATTAAAAACGACCAATACATTGATCTGAATTGTTTTCTGGAAGGTTTAACATAGGTAGTACCCTGCCATAGAGTCTTAAAAATAAAATGCATGAGTGCTTTTTGTGAAGAGGTATTGCTGTTCACGATGTTTACTGAGATTAAGAAGGTGTGGTGATATATTATCTATACAAGCCCAGTTATAAAGGTAAAATACTTACATGTGTACGATATAGATGTAGTGGCAGTGTGCACAATGATTTTAGTTGAATTTTTGCTCAAACTAATACGAGAACACATACAATGTATAGGAAAAAATGTATGTTACAAAAATAAACATAAGAAATGTGAATGATGAACCAGTGTATATGGATTTAGAGATAGGTTCTTATTAAATCATACAGTTATTTTCTCAGCTAGTGTCTCTCTACTGTGTGTCAGTAATTCAGTATAAATTGAATCTGTATGTATACATGTGATATCAGTTTCTGTGTGACATTTCCTGTGCTTAGTACTATTATCTCACTGTTTAAGTAACTCATCATTTATATAATTACAGGCAGTGCAGAGGGCGACCAATGTTGTGTTCCAGCCCAATCATGTTTCCCGAGACAAGCGTGGGAAAGTCCTTGGGGCCAAGGGTGGCTTCCGAGGCTGCACTATCTGGCTAACTGGTCTGTCTGGGGCTGGTAAGACCACCATCTCTTTTGCTTTGGAGGAGTATCTGGTTAGCCAGGGTATTCCTGCCTATAGTCTTGATGGTGACAACATTCGCACCGGGCTCAACAAGAATCTGGGCTTTACCCCTGAAGATCGTGAAGAAAACATTCGCCGTATATCTGAGGTTGCCAAGTTGTTTGCTGATGGTGGAATCGTGTGTATCACCGCCTTCATCAGTCCCTATGAAAAGGTACGCTCAGTTTCATTGGAAATTTTTATTGCAAAACTTTTTAAGCCATATGTTATAAAATTATTTGTTCAGAAGTAAGCTCATGTGTGGTGATTTGGTTATCCATGTGTAATGTAGCTAATAACAAAAACTTATTCTCAACTTCGAGGTGGGGAATGTGGGGGTGGGGTGTGGGGTTTTTGTCTTGTGCAACAGAGTGACTACAGTGGTAGCATCAGCATTTGCTATAATCAACCAACCTGCTTAATGTGTAATCAAAAGCATCAGTGAACATGTTTTCAATGAAGATTTCAAAATATGATTGAAAATTTATTAGACTTTGTTAATTAAGTGTGTCATGTTAAAGTTTTGCATTTATCTCCATATCAAGCTTAATTTCTATCATAATGAAAGATATACACATATACACATATCTATAGAACAATCCTCACATTTCAGAATTTTACCTAAAGCTTATTGCTAATTGGACTTTGTTGATTTGCATTAAACACGATGTTAGTCTTTTTTTTCCACATGACACCATAGCACGCTTTGTTCACTGTGTCCCGGTTCCATTTGATACATCTTTACACTTTTCCCATCTCTGTGTCCCGATGTCACTCTCTACAAAAGCACCCTTTCCCCTTTGTTCACTGTGTCCTGATGTCACTCTCTACAAAAGCACCCTTTCCCCTTTGTTCACTGTGTCCTGATGTCACTCTCTATAAAAGCACCATTTCCCCTTTGTTCACTGTGTCCTGATGTCACTCTCTACAAAAGCACCCTTTCCCCTTTGTTCACTGTGTCCTGATGTCACTCTCTACAAAAGCACCCTTTCCCCTTTGTTCACTGTCCTGATGTCACTCTCTACAAAAGCACCATTTCCCCTCTGTTCACTGTGTCCTGATGTCACTCTCTACAAAAGCACCCTTTCCCCTTTGTTCACTGTGTCCTGATGTCACTCTCTACATAAGCACCCTTTCCCCTTTGTTCACTGTGTCCTGATGTCACTCTCTACAAAAGCACCCTTTCCCCTTTGTTCACTGTGTCCTGATGTCACTCTCTACAAAAGCACCCTTTCCCCTTTATTCACTGTGGCCTTTTTTTTAATTTTAGGACCGAGCAAAGGCTAAGGAGCTTCATGAAGCCAATGGCCTTAAGTTTGTGGAATGTTTTGTGGATACACCAATAGAGATTTGTGAAGAGAGAGATGTGAAGGGTCTTTACAAGAAGGCCAGAGCTGGTCAGATCAAAGGTACGTCAAACTAGGGGTAATACTTTGTCCAGACCAAAGGTATGTCTTACACGGTGGTAATACTTTGTCCAGATCAAAGATTTGTTATACACGGTGGTAATACTTTGTCCAGACCAAAGGTTAGTCATACTAGGGGGTAATACTTTGTCCAGATCAAAGATTTGTTATACATGGTGGTAATACTTTGTCCAGACCAAAGGTTTGTTATACACGGTGGTAATACTTTGTCCAGATCAAAGATTTGTTATACACGGTGGTAATACTTTGTCCAGACCAAAGGTTAGTCATACTAGGGGGTAATACTTTGTCCAGATCAAAGATTTGTTATACACGGTGGTAATACTTTGTCCAGACCAAAGGTTAGTCATACTAGGGGGTAATACTTTGTCCAGATCAAAGATTTGTTATACACGGTGGTAATACTTTGTCCAGACCAAAGGTTAGTCATACTAGGGGGTAATACTTTGTCCAGATCAAAGATTTGTTATACACGGTGGTAATACTTTGTCCAGATCAAAGATTTGTTATACATGGTGGTAATACTTTGTCCAGACCAAAGGTTTGTCATACTAGGGGGTAATACTTTGTCCAGATCAAAGGTTTGTCATACTAGGGGGTAATACTTTGTCCAGACCAAAGGTTTGTCAAACTAGGGGTAATACTTTGTCCAGATCAAAGGTTTGTTATACATGGTGGTAATATTATTTCCAGATCAAAGGTTTGTCACACACGGTGGTAATACTCCATGGCTGAATTGTTTGGTAAAAAGATGTTTGTGGTAAGGGTTAGGGTTGGGTTTATTCCCATGCTGGTGAGATAAAACAAGGTATTATGTCAGGAGTTCCCAAGATTGATTTAATTGTTACAGGTTTCACTGGTGTTGATTCCAAGTATGAACGTCCACCCAATCCTGATGTTCGTGTGGAGGCCGGCAAAGATTCCATTGATGAATGTGTGCAGCGTATTGTACAGCACTTATTGGACCTAGTAAGTAGGAGTTATCTCCCATTTTGTACACCATTTGTCATCATTTGTACAATGTATGATGACTGATGTGTTAGATAATTCTTATAAACCTCTAAAGTTTGGGTTTTCTCCCCTTACTCAGTAAGATATTTATACACCACAGAAGTTTTCTGTGATTTTCTTATTTGAATAAAAGGGTGAGGGGTATTTGGTAGGAGGACTCTGTTAGACTAGATGAAGTAATCCAGTTAAGTGGAAATTTAGTGTAATAAGCTTATTGCAGAAATGATATGTGAATTCTTCATATTTTGAAGTACATTCTCACAAAATAATATGATTCTCCATTTGATTCTTGTGTTTGTTTTTTTTGTTTGAGACCCAATTTATTGATTGTTAAAACGACCTTGACTTATTGCGTTTGATGTATGACAGGAAGTGGTGCCGTCATCAGCTGTCAACACAGTGCATGAGCTCTTTGTTCCAGAGAACAAAGTGGAGACTGTCAGGGCCGAGGCAGAGAATCTGCCATCGCTGGAGATCACCAAGGTAACCATCCCTCCTAAATTGTCTCAATACTTTATATCAATTATTGATCCTGCTGAGTTTTGACTAGATTTACATGTACAAGAAATATTACTATTTAGGACCAAGTTTCCCATATAAATTCTGTATAAGTTCTTTAGATGTCATAAATCTTCCTAGTGAGAGAAAATCTTCAGTACCCTGAAATGGGGGGGGGGGCAAGAAGGAGGGACAAGAAGGGGGGAGTTAAAATGATAGCAGATTGGTTTTTATATATGTGTTTTCTACATTTATTCTGCTTTTATCACCTTCTATGTCATTCATATGGTTCATTCTGTAAAAGATTCAGAATAAAATGTAGACATAGGCTTTACATCCACTACTTTCTCTAACAGCTGGACAAGCAGTGGACCCAGGTTCTAGCTGAAGGTTGGGCATCACCTCTGAAAGGATTTATGAGGGAGAGAGAATATCTTCAGTGTCAGCACTTTGGTTGTCTGTTGGATGGTAAGATTACTCTTGCTTTAACAACAGTTAATCATTTCCTTCCAATAACGAAGGTAGTTTTTCAAAGGTTGTCAAGAATATTTTTAATGTTCCAGAAGTGTGACTGGCAGGATTTGAGTATATAAGAGTGATCTCCCTTGGATCATAATATTTCAGTTTACAACATGAAATAGACTGGTATTTAATTGCTAATCCTCAGGAAAAGAGATTAAATTAACACAAATAATTCAGGTGGGACCCAATTAATACACAAAGTACAAGGGTTTTGCAATACAAAGCTAAAGACATGGCACATATTTGAGTTATATATTGACTTGAAAACTGTGTAGTTCCATGTTTTTAATCTCTGTATTTATCTGATCTCTCATGGAAACATCTCATAATTCAGCCTTGTTTCAGCTGTGACTTTTTTTGTGAATTTTTCTCGTGTAATTTTGTGTATACCAGTATTTTTTCCGTATGCATTGTTCCCTCAGTTTATTACGTTATGTCTTTAAACAGATTTAATCTTGACATTCTGGATTCCTGTATTTCTAGTCATTGTTGTGTTGACACATCCTGTTAATGTTTTATGTATTTGTTGAACAGGTGGGGTGACTAATCAGTCCATCCCAATCGTGTTGCCAGTACAGACAGGTGACAAAGAAAGGCTGTGTGGCTGTGATGCCATGGCTTTACGTTATGAAAACAAGTGTATTGCGGTGTTGCGGAAGCCAGAGTTCTTTCCGCATAATAAGGAGGAGAGATGCTGTCGTCAGTTTGGTACAAGCAACAAAGGCCATCCGTATGTAAAGGTAAGACATGCAGAGTGTTATTAACAGTGGTTCTGTAAGTTACACAAGCTTCATGTATTTTTGTGACAAAGAGAACTTCTATCTAAATTGTTGTAATTGTGCCCACCTTCTTCCTGCGGAGGTTTTAAAACTATACAAGTGTCCCTATTAGTTGTAACACAGCTTATAAATTATTCTGATACTTAAGTTTAAATCCTAACATACTGCCAGCTGGAAATCTCATGCTTTCCATTTGCCACTTGTTTTCTCTCTCTAAGTGTATTACCTCACTACAATTCTCCTGATTCTGATATAAACAAAGATGGAACCCACATAACCAAGCTATCGCTGTTTTTCAACAAAAATTTTGCTGTTTTTTAGGGGGATTTTCGCTGCAATATTTTTCACCCATTGTACTTACAGTTGTACATTATAAATTAAAATGCTCAAAATCTCTCAGACAATCTTAAATAAAAAGAATTAACCAAGATGACATTGGTTGTGTCGGGATAGAAAATTTTGAAAAAGAAAATTTGTAGTTAATTTTAAATCAAAATTGTATAATTAAGCCAAACAACTTTGTAGCTTGGTACAGGTGTTGTAGTAATTTGACTAGGGATATTAGTGTTTTCTATTGGCTGACTATAAAAACAACATTTGCTATGTAGCACTTTGTTTTTTCTTCCTATTACGAGTTCCTGTTTTAGACACTATGGCCACTGATTACTCTATCTTGGTTCGATAAAATTTCCCTGATTTTGTGTGATGCACATGAAATTTCCAAACTTTTTGTGGGATACAAAGATAATATTGTTGTTATAGATGATCTATGAGAGTGGAGACTGGTTAGTTGGAGGAGAACTGGATGTGATTGAGAGGATGTACTGGAATGATGGGTTAGACCAGTATCGACTCACACCAACTGAATTACGAGCCAAGTTCCGACAGCTCCAGGTAGGTAAATTACTGTACTGAGTTACAGGCCAAATTAAAATATCTCCTATACTATGTTCAACAGCTACACTGAGTAACAGGCCACATTCCAACAACTACACTAAGGTACAGGCCACATTCCAACAGCTACACTGAGGTACAGGCCACATTCCAACAACTACACTGAGTAACAGGCCACATTCCAACAACTATACTAAGGTACAGACCACATTCCAACAACTACACTGAGTTACAGGCAACATTCCAACAACTACACTGAGTTACAGGCCACATTCCAACAGCTACACTGAGTTACAGTCCACATTCTAACAACTACACTGAGTTACAGGCCACATTCCAACAGCTACACTGAGTAACAGGCCACATTCCAAAAACTACACTGAGTTACAGGCCACATTCCTACAGCTACACTAAGGTACAGGCCACATTCCAACAGCTACACTGAGGTACAGGCCACATTCCAACAGCTACACTGAGTAACAGGCCACATTCCAACAACTACACTAAGGTACAGGCCACATTCCAACAGCTACACTGAGGTACAGGCCACATTCCAACAACTACACTGAGTTACAGGCCACATTCCTACAGCTACACTGAGTTACAGGCCACATTCCAACAGCTACACTAAGGTACAGGCCACATTCCAACAGCTACACTAAGGTATAGGCCACATTCCAACAACTACACTGAATTACAGGCCACATTCCAACAACTCCACTGAGTTACAGGCCACATTCCAACAGCTACACTGAGTAACAGGCCACATTCCAACAACTACACTGAGTTACAGGCCACATTCCAACAGCTACACTGAGTAACAGGCCACATTCCAACAACTACACTGAGTAACAGGCCACATTCCTACAGCTACACTGAGTTACAGGCCACATTCCAACAGCTACACTAAGGTACAGGCCACATTCCAACAGCTACACTAAGGTATAGGCCACATTCCAACAACTACACTGAATTACAGGCCACATTCCAACAACTACAATGAGTTACAGGCCACATTCCAACAGCTACACTGAGTAACAGGCCGCATTCCAACAGCTACACTGAGTTACAGTCCACATTCTAACAACTACACTGAGTTACAGGCCACATTCCAACAGCTACACTGAGTAACAGGCCACATTCCAACAACTACACTGAGTTACAGGCCACATTCCTACAGCTACACTGAGTTACAGGCCACATTCCAACAGCTACACTAAGGTACAGGCCACATTCCAACAGCTACACTAAGGTATAGGCCACATTCCAACAACTACACTGAATTACAGGCCACATTCCAACAGCTACACTAAGGTACAGGCCACATTCCAACAGCTACACTGAGTTACAGGCCACATTCCAACAACTGCACTAAGGTACAGGCCACATTCCAACAGCTACATTGAATTACATGCCAAGGTCCAACAGCTCCTACACTGTGTTGTAGACCACATTCCCAAATCTACTATTAATTATATAGATATTGTTTACATATACCTCATTTTAATATAATCTCTAAAAGAAAAAAATCTTGTTTCTTACAGGCAGATGCAGTGTTTGCATTCCAGCTAAGGAATCCTATACACAATGGCCATGCATTGCTGATGGCAGACACCAAACGTCGACTACTGGAAAAGGGCTACAGAAAACCTGTATTACTTCTCCATCCTTTAGGTAAGGGCTACAGAAACCCTGTATTACTTCTCTGTCCTCTAGGTTAGGGCTACAGAAACCCTGTATTACTTCTCTGTCCTCTAGGTAAGGGCTGGAGAAACCCTGTATTTCTTCTCTGTCCTCTAGGTAAGGGCTACAGAACCCCTGTATTACTTCTCTGTCCTCTAGGCAAGGGCTACAGAAACCCTGTATTACTTCTCTGTCCTCTAGGTAAGAGCTACAGAAACCCTGTATTACTTCTCTGTCCTCTAGGTAAGGGCTACATAAACCCTGTATTACTTGTCTGTCCTCTAGGTAAGAGCTACAGAAACCCTGTATTACTTCTCTGTCCTCTAGGTAAGAGCTACAGAAACCCTGTATTACTTCTCTGTCCTCTAGGTAAGGGCTACATAAACCCTGTATTACTTGTCTGTCCTCTAGGTAAGGGCTACAGAAACCCTGTATTACCTCTCTGTCCTCTAGGTAAGGGCTACAGAAACCCTGTATTACTTGTCTGTCCTCTAGGTAAGTGTTAGAGAAAGCTTGTATTACTTGTCTGTCTTTAGGTAACTAGATAAGGGCTAGAGAAACCCTGCATTACTTCTCTGTCCTCTAGGTAACTAGGTAAGGGCTAGAGAAATCCTGCATTACTTGTCTGTCCTCTAGGTAACTAGATAAGGGCTAGAGAAACCCTGCATTACTTGTCTGTCCTGTAGGTAAGGGCTAGAGAAACCCTCCATTACTTGTCTGTCCTCTAGGTAACTAGATAAGGGCTAGAAAAACCCTGCATTATTTGTCTGTCCTGTAGGTAACTAGATAAGGGCTAGAGAAACCCTGCATTACTTCTCTGTCCTCTAGGTAAGGGCTAGAGAAACCCTGTATTACTTTTCTGTCCTCTAGGTAACTAGATAAGGGCTAGAGAAACCCTGCATTACTTGTCTGTCCTGTAGGTAAGGGCTAGAGAAACCCTCCATTACTTGTCTGCCCTCTAGGTAAATAGATTAGGGCTAGAAAAACCCTGCATTATTTGTCTGTCCTGTAGGTAACTAGATAAGGGCTAGAGAAACCCTGCATTACTTGTCTGTCCTGTAGGTAAGGGCTAGAGAAACCCTCCATTACTTGTCTGCCCTCTAGGTAAATAGATTAGGGCTAGAAAAACCCTGCATTATTTGTCTGTCCTGTAGGTAACTAGATAAGGGCTAGAGAAACCCTGCATTACTTGTCTGTCCTGTAGGTAAGGGCTAGAGAAACCCTCCATTACTTGTCTGCCCTCTAGGTAAATAGATTAGGGCTAGAAAAACCCTGCATTATTTGTCTGTCCTGTAGGTAACTAGATAAAGGCTAGAGAAACCCTGCATTACTTGTCTGTCCTGTAGGTAAGGGCTAGAGAAACCCTGCATTAATCGTCTGTCCTGTAGGTAAGAGCTAGAGAAACCCTGTATTACTTGTCTGTCCTCTAGGTAACTAGATAAGGGCTAGAGAAACCCTGCATTACTTGTCTGTCCTGTAGGTAAGGGCTACAGAAACCCTGTATATCGGTGATATGTCCCTTTCTAAATTGTATAAGGTCAATTATATTACCAGTGATTGATAATTGTTGTTTTCTGTAGGTGGATGGACAAAAGATGATGATGTACCACTACCAACGCGAATGAAACAGCACCAGGCTATAATGGAAGAAAATGTTTTGGACCCAGATAGTACTGTCCTTGCCATTTTCCCATCACCCATGATGTATGCAGGCCCTACAGAGGTATTTATTTCATAATAAGATACTCTATCCTCGCCCATTATACATGCAGGCCCTACAGATTTATATATCTCTCCTCACTCGAGATGTATGTAGGCCCTACAGATGTATACAGATCACACTCATTATGTATGTAGGCCCTTCAGATGTAAACTAATCATACTACTGTACAGTCTCCTCAGTGGTGATGTATGTATGCCCTACAGATGTATACAGACCACACTCGTGATGTATGTAGGCCTTACAGATGTATACTTATCATACTTCTGTACAGTTTCCATATTCATGATGTATGCAGGCCCTACAGATGTATACAGACCACTCTCGTGATGTATGTAGGCCTTACAGATGTATACTTATCATACTTCTGTACAGTTTCCATATTCATGATGTATGCAGGCCCTACAGATGTATACAGACCACACTCGTGATGTATGTAGGCCTTACAGATGTATACAGACCATGCTCATGATGTATGTAGGCCCTACAGATGTATACTTATCATACTGCTGTACAGTTTCCACATTCATGATGTATTCAGGCCCTACAGATGTATACAGACCACACTCGTGGTGTATGTAGGCCTTACAGATGTATACAGACCATGTTCATGATGAATGTAGGCCCTACAGATGTATACAGACCATGTTCATGATGAATGTAGGCCTTACAGATGTATACAGACCACACTCGTGATGTATGTAGGCCTTACAATGTATACAGACCATGCTCATGATGTAGGTAGGCCCTACAGATGTATACTTATCACACTTCTGTACAGTTTCCACATTCATGATGTATGCAGGCCCTACAGATGTATAGACCACACTCGTGATATATGTAGGCCCTTCAGATGTATACAGACCACACTCATGATGTAGATAGGCCCAAAAGATGTATACAGACAACACTCATGATGTATGCAGGCCCTACAGATGTATACAGACCACATTCATGATGTATGCAGGCCCTACAGATGTATACAGACCATACTCATGATGTATGCAGGCCCTATAGATGTATACAGACCATGTTCATGATGAATGTAGGCCTTACAGATGTATACAGACCACACTCGTGATGTATGTAGGCCTTACAGATGTATACAGACCATGTTCATGATGTATACAGACCACACTCGTGATGTATGTAGGCCCTACAGATGTATACAGACCATGTTCATGATGAATGTAGGCCCTACAGATGTATACAGACCATGTTCATGATGAATGTAGGCCTTACAGATGTATACAGACCACACTCGTGATGTATGTAGGCCCTACAGATGTATACAGACCATGTTCATGATGAATGTAGGCCTTACAGATGTATACAGACCATGTTCATGATGAATGTAGGCCTTACAGATGTATACAGACCACACTTGTGATGTATGTAGGCCTTACAGATGTATACAAACCATGTTCATGATGTATGCAGGCCCTACAGATGTATACAGACCACACTCGTGATGTATGTAGGCCCTACAGATGTATACAGACCATGTTCATGATGAATGTAGGCCTTACAGATGTATACAGACCACACTCGTGATGTATGTAGGCTCTACAGATGTATACAGACCACTCTTATGATGTATGCAGGCCCCACAGATGTATACAGACCACTCTCATGATGTATGTAGGCCCTACAGATGTATACAGACAACACTCATGATGTATGTAGGCCCTGCAGATGTATACTTTCTAGACTAGGTACATTCTCTTTGCCCATTGTTTTCTTTCAAAAAGGCAATGTTTTAGTAATGATATCCTACTCTCAACTACAATGTTTAAGATATAAAAATCTCATACAGATATGTTGCAATGATGGGCCCTGGAGTCACTCCCTTCCCCATGATACTGTTTCCCTGGTTCATAACACTCTTGAAATAGACCTGATAACAATGCCTACTAGTAATCTGTGCAAGTTAACACTCATGTGTAGGACCGAGAGGATTGAGAGTTTACCCTGATCTTAGAAAACTAGCATTAAAGTTACAATCAATACAGCATTTAGAAACAGAAGCCTAGCTAATTGTAGATTGTCTCATCAGGCACTAGACTGAGTCGACTCTTGATGGGTGAGGAGGACGATTTCTACTTAGAGAAGGGCCACAATTACTAGGGCAGAAAACAACAAGATGAATATCACACGTAAATGAGATGGTGTAGAATTGCTGCATTGAAATCCAAACTGATTAGTTTGATAGAAAAAGAAAAAAACATTGAATGATGCTTGTCCTTAGTATAAAACAATGGATAAACATCTACATCACACTTGGTGATTGGTGTTGGCTGAGTGTCAAGTTAGCAAGCAGAAAGGTCAGATTCCAAGATTACAAGGTGTTTGTCTTTAGTTACATCATAAAATTTCATACTCACAATACCAGTTTCTGACAGTGGTACTACTTGTATAGAGACAGAAAATGATACATAATATTAGTCCCAGACAGTGGTACTACTTGTTTAGAGACAGAAAATGATACTTAATATTAGTCCCTGACAGTGGTACTACTTGCATAGAGACAGAAAATGATACATAATATTAGTCCCTGACAGTGGTACTACTTGTATAGAGACAGAAAATGATACATAATATTAGTCCCTGACAGTGGTACTACTTGTATAGAGACAGAAAATGATACATAATATTAGTCCCTGACAGTGGTACTACTTGTATAGACAGAAAATGATACATAATATTATTCCTGGTATTTATATCTTTACAGGTACAATGGCATGCAAAAGCAAGAATGTCTACAGGAGCAAACTTTTATATAGTAGGTCGTGACCCAGCTGGAATGCCTCACCCTGATGGCAGCCGAGATCTGTTTGACCACACCCATGGTTCAAAGGTGACACTTTTCTCACTACATCTGATATTATAATGTTACCTATTGTGTTGTTGGATGATACCGTAATTGTGTTGTGTTGTCGAGTGATAACTGATGTGTGTTGTGTTGTCAGATGATAACTGATGTGTGTTGTGTTGTCAGATGATAACTGATGTGTGTTGTGTTGTCAGATGATAACTGATGTGTGTTGTGTTGTCAGATGATAACTGATGTGTGTTGTGTTGTCAGATGATAACTGATGTGAGTTGTGTTGTGTTGTCAGATGATAACTGATGTGAGTTGTGTTGTCAGATAACTGATGTGCGTTGTGTTGTCAGATGATAACTGATGTGTGTTGTGTTGTCAGCTGATAACTGATGTGAGTTGTGTTGTCAGATAACTGATGTGTGTTGTGTTGTCAGATGATAACTGATGTGTGTTGTGTTGTCATAACTGATGTGAGTTGTGTTGTCAGATGATAACTAATGTGTGTTGTGTTGTCAGATGATAACTGATGTGTGTTGTGATGTGTGTTGTGTTGACAGGTGATAACTGATGTGTGTTGTGTTGTCAGATGATAACTGATGTGTCTTGTGTTGAAAGATGATAACTGATGTGTGTTGTGTTGTCAGATGATAACTGATGTGTGTTGTGTTGACAGATGATAACTGATGTGTGTTGTGTTGTCAGATGATAACTGATGTGTGTTGTGTTGACAGATGATAACTGATGTGTGTTGTGTTGTCAGATGATAACTGATGTGTGTTGTGTTGTCAGATAACTGATGTGAGTTGTGTTGTCAGGTGATAACTAATGTGTGTTGTGTTGTCAGATGATAACTGATGTGAGTTGTGTTGTCAGATAACTGATGTGCGTTGTGTTGTCAGATGATAACTGATGTGTGTTGTGTTGTCAGCTGATACCTGATGTGAGTTGTGTTGTCAGATGATAACTGATGTGTGTTGTGTTGTCAGATGATAACTGATGTGTGTTGTGTTGTCAGATGATAACTGATGTGTGTTGTGTTGTCAGATGATAACTAATGTGTGTTGTGTTGTCAGATGATAACTGATGTGAGTTGTGTTGTCAGATGATAACTGATGTGTGTTGTGTTGTCAGATAACTGATGTGTGTTGTGTTGACAGGTGATAACTGATGTGTGTTGTGTTGTCAGATAACTGATGTGTGTTGTGTTGACAGGTGATAACTGATGTGTGTTGTGTTGTCAGATGATAACTGATGTGTGTTGTGTTGTCAGATGATAACTGATGTGTGTTGTGTTGTCAGATAACTGATGTGTGTTGTGTTGACAGGTGATAACTGATGTGTGTTGTGTTGTCAGATAACTGATGTGTGTTGTGTTGACAGGTGATAACTGATGTGTGTTGTGTTGTCAGATGATAACTGATGTGTGTTGTGTTGTCAGATGATAACTGATGTGTGTTGTGTTGTCAGATAACTGATGTGTGTTGTGTTGACAGGTGATAACTGATGTGTGTTGTGTTGTCAGATGATAACTGATGTGTCTTGTGTTGAAAGATGATAACTGATGTGTGTTGTGTTGTCAGATGATAACTGATGTGTGTTGTGTTGACAGATGATAACTGATGTGTGTTGTGTTGTCAGATGATAACTGATGTGTGTTGTGTTGACAGATGATAACTGATGTGTGTTGTGTTGTCAGATGATAACTGATGTGTGTTGTGTTGTCAGATAACTGATGTGAGTTGTGTTGTCAGGTGATAACTAATGTGTGTTGTGTTGTCAGGTGATAACTGACATGTTCTGTGTTTTCAGGTTCTGACCATGGCTCCAGGTCTCACTCAGCTGGAGATAGTACCCTTCAGAGTAGCAGCATATAACACCAAGCTCAGAAAGATGGCTTTCTTTGATCCTGACAAGAAGGAGGACTTTGATTTCATCTCTGGCACTCGTATGCGTAAGATTGCCAGAGAAGGAGGGAATCCTCCAGATGGCTTCATGGCACCTAAAGCCTGGAATGTCCTCAAGGATTACTACCAATCACTCTTACAAAAGTAGAGAAACATGGACTCAAAACTTTGGGCAAATATATTTTAGGTCATTTAACTGCTTTTTACTACTGCTTTACATTTTTTGAGGGAATCTGCACTTGGTCACCAGTTTTTAGTGTTATACATTTATTTTAAATGTGGGCCAAATTATACATATTTACCAATATAGATTACTTATATTTGACCTGGGACATGTTGGTCATCAGAGGCTGTGATTTGTTTATATAGGTTTACAGATACTGTTATAGTGGTCATGTGTAAGGGAACAACAGATACTGTTATAGTAGGGGAACAAAGGATATTTGTCTGGTACAATCCTTCTTTCAGTTGCTAGGGATTTCATTTTGATATCAGTACATGTGTAATACATGTAACTTTTGTGAATACTGCTGTTGTGACTTTTGTTGTTGACTAACTGGTTACTTCTGAGATTGCCTGGTTACTCCTGTGACTAACTGGTTACTTCTGAGATTACCTGGTTACTCCTGTGACTAACTGGTTACTTCTGAGATTACCTGGTTACTCCTGTGACTAACTGGTTACTTCTGAGATTACCTGGTTACTCCTGTGACTAACTGGTTACTTCTGAGATTACCTGGTTACTCCTGTGACTAACTGGTTACTTCTGAGATTACCTGGTTACTCCTGTGACTAACTGGTTACTTCTGAGATTACCTGGTTACTCCTGTGACTAACTGGTTACTTCTGAGATTACCTGGTTACTCCTGTGACTAACTGGTTACTTCTGTAAAAGGTTACTCCTGTGAATTTCCACTATTTTAACCTATGTACTATCGTTATTGACACAGAGGCCTTTGCTTCTAATGAACTATAGTCACTCAATTTTTAACGGACCAATCTGTTTTAATTGACCAAGTATTATTGTAATTAAGTTATTTTATTGTGATTTTATACAATCATCAGACTTTTAGAGTTACTATTATACAGTGGAATCTGTCTGAACTGGACACCGTAAGGACCAAATAATTTGGCCAGTTTGTGTAGAGTTTCGGATTGTAGAGAGTCCTTTGGTATGATATTGTTGGAATTAGAACTTAACCTGATAAGGCAGATATCTGGATTGCAGAGAATCTCAGTTTAGACAGAGTCCACTTTATTGACTAGTTTCTTTTATCAGGCATTGTGGATCAATTAAGAAAATCTCCTATATACAGCAATTGTGAAGTTATCATATGTTGTTCATTCATATTTACCTTTTGGAAATTTTGTTTATTTTTAAGTGTTTTACGAGACTTTATTGAAGATGTTCACTTTGATAGAAGATTTAAAATTTGTTTTTTTCATAAGACAATAATATATTACAGGTCATGTTCACAAGTTACAGGTATTCAGAGACCTTACATGTGCTCACCATACCAGTGTCTCACTAGAAATAATCTTTTGAATAATTATTACAAATCAAAGACCATATTTAATATTTACATGACATGACTCCATCCTTCACTCTAGTAAACAATGATTACAAAAATAAGATTTATTCACATGTTGTTTATAAACTTTCTAATTAGTAGTGATTACAAAAATCAGTATTAATTGTTGTTGAGCCAAATTTTTAATCCTGTTGTCAGAAATTTCATCACTCAGGTACATCATACTTTTGTTAGAACTAATTATGGCTGAAGAGATTATTTACAATAAGTTGTAACATGATGTCACTAAATAAATTCTGACTTTTATACCAAGAAAAAGCAATTTAATGATTTGGGATGAATTTTATAGAAAGTGAATATGGTTATACCAGACTACAAATTAAACTGCAGTTAAACTACACAGTGTCTGAGTTGTTATTGGTAGTGTCATGTTAGCCTTTAGTCTAAACATTACACAGTTTCAGCCTTTAGTCTAAACATCTCACGGTTTCAGCCTTTAGTCTAAACATAACACACTTTCAGCCTTTAGTCTAAACATAACACAGTTTCAGCCTTAATCTAAACATTACAGATTTTCAGCATTTAGTCTAAACATAACACACTTTCAGCCTTTAGTCTAAACATTACAGATTTTCAGCATTTAGTCTAAACATAACACACTTTCAGCCTTTAGTCTAAACATTACACAGTTTCAGCCTTAATCTAAACATTACACAGTTTCAGCCTTTAGTCTAAACATTACACAGTTTCAGCCTTTAGTCTAAACATTAGTTTCAGCCTTTTGTCTAAACATTACAGTTTCAGCCTTTAGTCTAAACATTACACAGTTTCAGCCTTTAGTCTAAACATTACACAGTTGCAGCCTTTAGTCTAAACATTACACAGTTTCATCCTTTAGTCTAAACATTACACACTTTCAGCCTTTCGTCTAAGCATTACACAGTTTCAGCCCTTTGTCTAAACATTACACAGTTTCAGCCTTTAGTCTAAACATAACACAGTTTCAGCCTTTAGTCTAAATATTACACAGTTTCAGCCCTTTGTCTAAACATTACACAGTTTCAGCCTTTAGTCTAAACATTACACAGTTTCAGCCTTAATCTAAACATTACAGTTTCAGCCTTTAGTCTAAACATTACACAGTTTCAGCCTTCAGTCTAAACATTACACAGTTTCAGCCTTTAGTCTAAACATTACACAGTTTCAGCCTTTAGTCTGAACATTACACAGTTTCAGCCTTTAGTCTAAACGTAACACAGTTTCAGCCTTTAGTCTAAATATTACACAGTTTCAGCCCTTTGTCTAAACATTACACAGTTTCAGCCTTTAGTCTAAACATTACACAGTTTCAGCCTTCAGTCTAAACATTACACAGTTTCAGCCTTTAGTCTGAACATTACACAGTTTCAGCCTTTAGTCTAAACATTTCACTTGCAGCCTTTAGTCTAAACATTACACAGTTTCAGTCTCTAGTCTAAACATTACACAGTTTCAGCCTTTAGTCTAAACATTACACAGTTTCAGCCTTTAGTCTAAACATTACACTTGCAGCCTTTAGTCTAAACATTACACAGTTTCAGTCTTTAGTCTAAATATTACACAGTTTCAGCCTTTAGTCTAAACATTACACAGTTTCAGCCCTTTGTCTAAACATTACACTTTCAGCCTTTAGTCTAAACATTACAGTTTCAGCTGTCTAAACATTACACAGTTTTAGGCTTTTGTCACTACCTTTTGAAGGTGTTCTTACAATCCTTGTTTTCTGATTTGTTTAAAAGAAATGATCACAACCTATCAGCAGCCATATACTGTAAAGAAGACTGCAACTTGTTAGAATACAATCACCACGAGATGAGGAAGTATTATACTAAAAGCTTACCAATACAATCACCACGAGATGAGGAAGTATTACAAGGAAGTATTATACTAAAATCTTACCAATACAGACAGTCACCACGAGACAAGGAAGTATTATACCAAAACCTTACCAACACTGAGACACCACGAGACAAGGAAGTATTATACCAAAACCTTACCAACACAGAGAGTCACCACGAGACAAGGAAGTATTATACCAAAACTTACCAATACAGAGAGTCACCACGAGACAAGGAAGTATTATACTAAAAACTTACCAATACAGAGAGTCACCACGAGACAAGGAAGTATTATACCAAAACTTACCAATACAGAGAGTCACCAGGAGACGTGAAAGTATTATACTAAAATCTTACCAATACAGAGAGTCACCACGAGACAAGGAAGTATTATACCAAAAACTTACCAATACAGAGAGTCACCACAAGACAAGGAAGTATTATACCAAAACTTACCAATACTGACAGTCACCACGAGACAAGGAAGTATTATACCAAAAACTTACCAATACAGAGAGTCACCACGAGACAAGGAAGTATTATACCAAAAACTTACCAATACAGAGAGTCACCACAAGACAAGGAAGTATTATACCAAAACTTACCAATACTGACAGTCACCACGAGACAAGGAAGTATTATACCAAAACTGTCATATTGAGATTTGTGTCAAACATGATTTAGCCTTGCTTTGGTTTCAAGTTATTTGTCAGAGATGTGACAAGATGGCTTTACATAAAATATTATGTGTCTTTAGTTATAATAAATGATCAATTCTAACTGCACATTTCAGTATACATGGTCTACTGCACAGTTATATATACATGGTCTACAGTACAGTTCAATGTACATGGTCTACTGCACAGTTCTATGTACATGGTCTACAGCACAGTTCAGTATACATGGTCTACTGCACAGTTCTATATACATGGTCTACAGTACAGTTCAGTATACCTGGTCTACTGCACAGTTCTATGTACATGGTCTACAGTACAGTTCAGTATACATGGTCTACTGCACAGTTCTATGTACATGGTCTACACCACAGTTCAGTATACATGGTCTACTGCACAGTTCTATGTACATGGTCTACAGCACAGTTCAATGTACATGGTCTACTCTACAGTTCAGTATACATGGTCTAGAGCATAGTTTAGTGTACATAGTCTACTGTACAGTTCAATGTTAATGGTCTTCTGCACAGTTCAATGTAAATGGCCGACTGCACAGTTCAATGTACATGGTCTACTGTACAGTTCAGTGTTTATGGTCTACTGCACAGTTCAGTGTAAATTGTCTACTGTACGGGTCAGTATACATGGTCTACTGAATAGTTCAGTATACATGGTCTAGAGAACAGATCAGTGTACATGGTCTAGAGTATAGTACAGTGTACATGGTCTAGAGCACAGTTAAATGTACATGGTCTACTGTTCAATTCAGTGTGCATGGTCTACTGCACAGTTCAGTGTTTATTGTCTACTGAAGAGTTCAATATACAGCACAGTGCAGTGTACATGGTATACTTTGCAGTTCAATGTATATGGTCTACTGTACAGTTCAATGTATATGGTCTACTGAACAGTTCAGTGTTCATGGTCTACTGCATAGTTCAGTGTTTATGGTCAACTGTAAAGTTCAGTGTTCATGGTCTACTCTACAGTTCAATGTACGTGGTCTACTGTACAGGTCAGTGTTGATGGTCTACTGCACAGTTCATTGTAAATGGTTTACTGGTCAGTTCAGTCTAAACTGTCAATTGTACAGTTCAGTGTTCATGGTCTGCTGTACAGGTCAGTGCACATGGTCTACTGTACAGCTCAGTGTTCATGGTCTACTGTACCGTTCAGTGTTCATGGTCTACTGCACAGTTCATTATCAATTGTCAACTGTACAGTTCAGTGTTCATGGTCTATACCACAGTTCAATGTACATGGTCTACTGCAAAGTCCAGCGTACATGGTCTACTGTACAGGTCAGTGTACATGGTATACTGCACAGTTCAGTGTACATGGTCTACTGAAGAGTTCAATATACAGCACAGTTCAGTATACATGGTCTACTGCACAGTTCAGCGTACATGGTCTATTTTACAGTTCAGTGTTTATGGTCTACTGCACATTTCAGTGTAAATTGTCTACTGCACATTTCAGTGTTTATGGTCTACTGTACAGTTCAGTGCACATGGTCTACTTTACCGTTCAGTGCTCATGGTCTACTGCACAATTCATTGTAAATTGTCAACT